TAAGTCAGACCATGGTTACTACTACTACTACAATACTCAAACTAATGGTAAGTCAGACCATGGTTACTACTACTACTACAATACTCAAACTAATGGTAAGTCAGACCATGGTTACTACTACTACTACAATACTCAAACTAATGGTAAGTCAGACCATGGTTACTACTACTACTACAATACTCAAACTAATGGTAAGTCAGACCATGGTTACTACTACTACTACAATACTCAAACTAATGGTAAGTCAGACCATGGTTACTACTACTACTACAATACTCAAACTAATGGTAAGTCAGACCATGGTTACTACTACTACTACAATACTCAAACTAATGGTAAGTCAGACCATGGTTACTACTACTACTACAATACTCAAACTAATGGTAAGTCAGACCATGGTTACTACTACTACTACAATACTCAAACTAATGGTAAGTCAGACCATGGTTACTACTACTACTACAATACTCAAACTAATGGTAAGTCAGACCATGGTTACTACTACTACTACAATACTCAAACTAATGGTAAGTCAGACCATGGTTACTACTACTACTACAATACTCAAACTAATGGTAAGTCAGACCATGGTTACTACTACTACTACAATACTCAAACTAATGGTAAGTCAGACCATGGTTACTACTACTACTACAATACTCAAACTAATGGTAAGTCAGACCATGGTTACTACTACTACTACAATACTCAAACTAATGGTAAGTCAGACCATGGTTACTACTACTACTACAATACTCAAACTAATGGTAAGTCAGACCATGGTTACTACTACTACTACAATACTCAAACTAATGGTAAGTCAGACCATGGTTACTACTACTACTACAATACTCAAACTAATGGTAAGTCAGACCATGGTTACTACTACTACTACAATACTCAAACTAATGGTAAGTCAGACCATGGTTACTACTACTACTACAATACTCAAACTAATGGTAAGTCAGACCATGGTTACTACTACTACTACAATACTCAAACTAATGGTAAGTGAGAGCATTAAGCAATACTTTAAGGAGTCTATAATAAGTGCGAGGACTACAACTACAATCATGCTTTGCAGCACAAAATGATACTTCTGCACATTGCCTATTGAATACATGCAACTTGTCTACTCATCAAATAAGAATTGTGTGAACAGTTCAAAACTTGGGCCAACTGTCTTTTTTGTGAAATGACTGGATACCAGTGATTATAATAAAAGTTGAATCAACCATGCGTACAGTACTAACAACTGTTTACCCATTTTTCTTTGAATCTCTATGTCAGAGTAAARATACATGATTGACAACTAATATGTATTTGATACTAATCCAATAGAAGGGAGGATTTTCTGTAGATTTGTCATATTCATTTTTCAATATTTCRTGCATTGCAGTTACACAGTGGGAAGTRCCTTCATGCTTGGAGAGAGAGTAAGCTATTACGTAATTGCTTTTTCCTAGAATTTTGTCACACAAAAAACACATTTGCGATTTATTGGAGAAATGATTAGGTTGAATCTGTTCTTCTCATGTCACTAGTGAATCTGGAGAAGGGGATCAAATACAAGAGCCAATGTCAATTAAAAACGTTGTAGAGGTAACAAAACATCAATCATAAATCTGCACAGAAAAAAAAGATAATTAATTGGATTTCCTCTATTTTGTTTAGAAAGAACAAAGTGTTTGTGGAAAGGACAGCTCAATTGAAGACAAGCTTGAGGAAAAAGAATCAATACTGAATAAAGATCATGCTGCTGATTTCTCACCATATGGGGCATGGACAACAGTCAGGACCATAGAAGCCCCAGTACTAACTAGGTAGGTCCTTGTTTAGCAGTCAGTAGAATAAACACAGGGTTTATCAAGCTAATCACCAAGTTTTTGGCATTTAAATTTCATATTTGTCAAAATTTCATGTCTAGGACCTATGAAAAGGGGATACCCATATTTCAACTATTATTGTCACTTCAAAAACACGTAAGGAACCAACTAAGGTCTGCCAGAAAAGCTTTGTGGATATGCATTTTTGAAGAATGAAAATGCACTGTGGTACCACCAACAACTCAAAATGCATGTAAACATAATATCTCATTGTGCTTGCAGGGTCATGCATTCATCTTTTTGGAGTGACTTCATTAAAATAAGTGACCATATTATGTATTGATTTAGAAAATGTTGAAATCATGTCATAACAACAGTGTTGTTCACATATCAGGGAATCTCATGCCAAAGTACAAAATGAAGCTGACGAGGACCACGTAGCTTCAGAGGATCCAGAAGTCACAGCAAAAAATACAGAAAAGAAATTTAAAGAACGAGAAATAACTAAACTTTTAAGTCCTAAGACAGATGAAGTTGTATCATTTAAGAAACGAAAATTGAACAGTGAAAGAAAAAGAAATGTAAGACAAACAAAATTTGATTCTTAATATAACGTAATAAATATTATTAATGGTTTTTAATATTTATTGTTTGGTACAATATACTTCTTTGTAACTGGTTTGCTCCAGTATTGTCTCAGATTGTTTTTTGTTTCTATCATATTGTACTAACTGCATTGGAAGGCAATTTATAATTTCAAATAATTTCAAATCCATGCCATAAATCTGTGATGAAATAATCTCTTAAATTGTGCAACTGTACAAACTAATTTAATAGTGCTATTTAGATATTTTGCATGTGGTACGCAAATTAAACTGAATTGATACAAATGAAGCATTCAATACCGTCTTGCTTCAGGTCCACTTTTAGTACAAATTAGTACTACTTGGATTTTGTTAATGCATGCCAAATAAAACAAGCAGAGACAACTGGTCTAAAAGTATTAGACATATGGCAAGCACTTGAACCATTATTTAAAAATATAACACTCTGCAGTTATACAAAGATTTAAGTTAAAAAGCCTGTATGAAGCATTATAGGGCATTTATGGGGCATGATGTTTATTATCTAAAGTATGTTCTTTGTGTGTTAAACTGTTCTTGCTGTTAATAACTCGTCTCCTTACCAGTACATGTCAGTTGTAAATAAAAAAACAAACATTTAAACCAAACTTTAGCTACCAAATGCTAAATCATTAAATATATATAGCTGCAATAATATTATCCCCCAGTTGCTCCCACTCAAATATATTATTAAAACATCATAGACTATTAAGCGCCATTTACACTTTCTTGTCAAGTAAAACTTGTCTGTGTAAACGAAGAATAAGTTTTCCTTGACAAGGAAAAATTGCCCGTGTGAATGGTCAACAAGTTTTACTTGACAAATTTTTCCTTGCCACATTTTCCTTGTTGTCCATTTACACCAGCAAATTTTGTCCTTTTTCCTTGTCAAGGAAAAGCGAACATCTTGGCTTTTCCTCGACAATGAAAAATGGTCAATTTTAACCCATTAACATAAGCAATTTTTCCTTGTCAAGGAAAAATTGCTCAAGGAAAAATTGCTCGTGTAAACGGCACTTTACAATGGAAATTCTACAAATTTATAATGAGACATACTGATTAGTCTCTGAGTGGTAAAAGGTTACTGAATTTCTGAAAGAATAGTTTTTTGAAAATTTGCAAATTATTTTCATTACAAGTTGTGTTTGTGCTGACTAGCATCATAGTCAAAAAGATTTTTTTCCATGAATGAGCAGCTGTTTAGTTTGGAATGATTTCTAATACTCCAGTTTCAAGATCTTATTGTGCAGCCTTAACCTCGAAAGCATGATTGTATATTCTTTTATTCATTAGAGATCCTATTGTAATGCAAAAACTCTGTGTACAAAGAAGATAATAAAAATTTATGCTTGATTAAAGCTAATCTTGATTCTTTCACAAAAGAGAATTCGAAACTTGAGTATTAATCGCTCCATTTCTTGATTCGGCTTATGATGGGACATCAGGGTTTGAAGAGTTGGTCATTATTTTACATAGTATGTCTGTGGTCAACTTGTAGGTATAGTGTAAGGAGGGCCGGAAATGTATAGATCCTAGTAATAATCATGATATTAAAAGTTATAAGATGAAGTAAAAATTAAAAAATAGTGCCATAGAGGAACAGAACGTTTTTATTTTACTAAATAAAAATGGAACAGGTAAAAATAAATCACTTGGGTTGGATGCTTTTTTTTGTCTTAACAATTCCTTTTCAGTAAACCAAAAATGTTCTAATTCTCTTTGACAACATTCTTGCAAGGTATAGAGTACAAGCAGTAGACCTGTGAAATTGAGTTAGCATATAAATCCCTAATGTACCGACAGACAATAGGCACATATGGGTTGTCTTTATTTAGCACCAATTTATCTATTTCACAGGCATATCATTTATTCTCTACACGACCATGCTAATAAAATATTAAAATTAGACTAAAATCCCTGTGTACATGACTGTAGCCACTATCTGCCCTCACCAGGCCAATGGGTGATCTATCTCCAAGTATCTATGAACAAACAATTCTTGCTGTTATTTTTTTGTTAAATGAATAATGAACATTATTAATAACAATTATATTAAATTAATATAAGACAACGGAACTGCAAGGATAAAGAAATGCAAAAAGAAATAATTAAAGGACACTGGAAAAGTGCATGAAATTGTCTTCAATCTCCTATATGAAGTCTAAGTAGTTTTGTTTGCTACACATCTTCAAAACTGAAAGACATATTTGCTTGCCAAACAGATTCTGTGCTCTAGTTTGAATACTGCTCACATGATTTGATTTTAATAACCGATATCACATTCACCTTGTTTGGCTTCTCTTTCTAAAACAGCTAGTAAAGCATAATGTATTGAACTTAATTATGTGGCACTTAACAATGTCTTTTATTAGTGCCAACATGTCTTTAAAATGTGCATATTATAACATTTTAGAAATTAACATGCAAGGGAGGGAATTATTGCACTAGTAAATGTATTTCATGCATTATGATAAGGAATGAGTATTGATCTCACCTGGGGAAGCAGTATTTACTGGTCTATATGATGGCTCCAAGTGATCGTTTTCTCTACTCATCTTTTTCCTACATCAAAAAAAAAAAAGAGATGATGTATAAAATAATTCTTCTTATCAATAAACTGCATCCATTCTAAGAGTAGATGGGAATTTTTTCTATTTCATACTTGACACAGTTTCATAATGGAAATGCGGTAAACTACAGTACTGTGAGCTGCATTGTTGTTTCTAAAGACAGTTGTGAAATAAGATATTAAAGATAGTTTTCTATTAAAAGCTTTTAGCAAAACTGTGTAATCCAGTGAAAAGATAGGTTTCGACTGCAAGCCAACTCAAAGCATTCAAACAAGCGTAAAAATTTTAGGCCAAAGCGTTAGCAAATCATAGTTTTAGTAGAGTACTAAATATGAGCATATCAAGACAAAAATATGAAAGAGTTATTACTAAAGCGTTTTGGAAAACTGTCAAGTAAACCATTAAGAAGCATTAACCATTAGAGCAAAGCACTATTAATCTTTTGGAAAATCTTTAACTGTTAAGGGAAAAGGGTTGTATTTTTGGACAAAGTGTTAACCATCAAGGGAACTGTTAAATTCAAGGCGTTATTACGCTTTGGCAAAGGTGTTCAAAGCACAAACTGTTATTGACTTAATGGCTGATTAACATTTTAGATGTTAATACCAGTTTCCCTGTTAGGCCTCAGAAAAAGGAATAATGATTGTCCAAAACTTCTGTAAGTCATTACTCACACTTTTTATGATGTAAAATTTATATTATTTCACAAAATTGTCATGTACTTTTAAAGTAACGGTATAAACAGGGTGGTTGTGCTTACTGCACAGAAAAATGTGTAACTCTTTCTTATCTTAACCTATGGTAATGATGACACCAAATGAATGACTGTACAGTAAAAACCTATGTATAAGAACAAGTGGATTAAGAACACCCAGGACTTATTTTAGGAAATAAAGTACCATTTATTATAAGAACACATTCTGAAAAATGAAAATTGTTCTTATATGGAAAAAATGTCAAAGATCAACACTACTTTTCATTGTAAACATAATAGTTCCACCCTAATTATATGTTTAAGAAATATAAAACGGCGCGCGTGTCTCTGTCCTCTGATATAAAGACRGTGGGAGTTCGAAAAACACGAGAGAAGCAAGCTTAGGAACACGAGCGTAGAGAGTGTTTCTCTTGCTTCTCGAGTGTTTTTCAACTCCCACCGTGTTTATATCAGAAGACAGAGACACAAGCGGCCGTTTTATATTTCTTTTATAAAATTTTTTGAGCGAAAAGAAAATTTTGCCGGTAAGCCGTGTCTCTGTCCTCTGATATAAACACGGTCGTCAGCCAATCAGAGCGCGCATTATATATCAAAAAATTTATAAAACAAAATATTAAACAAAATAATCATTGGTATTAATTAATTAATTCATCTATTGGTAGCCTAGTATGTTCCTTATTTTTAGAAAATTTTGTTAAGAACACTTATTTGCAGATTATAACCCTTTATATAAGAAACAAATCAGCCTGAACCACCAAAATAGGTGTTCTTATATGCAAGTTTTTAYTGTATGCTTTTATTGTGACTAGGGACAAAAACAATGATACTCTACATGTATATCATTTTTATTACTTATTAGCTCAAGAGGATTAATAGTTAGCTTTTCAAAAATGTTTGTGTCCAGTGGTTTTAATTTTCTACTTAACATGTTTTGAAGGTTCCTAATTTTCATCGAAATATGTGACAAGATACTATTTTCAAAATACAAAGTCCAAAATAATATAACATACCTGAAGAATTCTATTATACGTGGTATGATGATACAAACAAAGCTCATAAATGTCTAAAAAAATGTGATAAAATAATGGGTTAAAAAGTGCACAAAATTGAAAGCAGTTATTTGAAATGCATTTCTATACTAATCTTATTACTTACCATTACCATGAGGAAGTAAAAGACATTACTCCAGGCATTACTGTTTTTTTTCTTTTTCTTAGAGTCTGTAATTATAGGAATAAGGATCTGAAACAAAACAACAAATTTTTCACAATCACGACTTCCTTGAAACAATCTTAATTCATGAATGTAAAATTCCTATGATTAGCATACATGCATGCCAATGGGTTTCATTTATATATAAAACATACCTGTCCAATGGCAGCACCAACACTTCCGGTGCCATCAACGATACCAGTCACTGTAGCTAATGCTTCACTATTTCCTTTTAGGCATGGCTAAGGATAGATATGCATGAAAAATAACTTTCTTTCATCCTGTTTATGTTGTAAATAAATGTGAATTTATTTTCACTTTATGAATTCACTCTGGAATGAATAAGACACAATGACAAACAAATGACATAGGCCTGCATGTAATGTTATTTCTTCGGATGGAACCAGGTCTCAGTGCTTGTGGTTTAAGTTGAGTTTTCAACATTTTTTGATACATCGATTAGCGACCGTGGTACAGTGTAAACTGTTATTACCTGTCTTCCTAGATCTGCTGAGATGGCTGAGCTAATCAAATTTGCTGGCCCACCAATCATAAACCCTGTGCAAAGAAATAGCAAATAGTACTTGACACTGCAGTTTGTCAAATATTTACTTCCACACTTACATAAATTAAATTTATAATGGAATGCCTTCATAATATAATTCTAAAATGCTAATTATTTCAAGATTAAAATCGTAACACTTTTATTATACTTTGTCTCAATTAGTGAATTTAAATGATAAACCTTTCGCACAAAATGGTCTATCATTAATAACAAGTTAGTAATAAATAGTACTAAATCTGCCATACTGGATAGCAAAAGAATGCAAACAACCTCACCACAGCCTGTCAAACTTGGCTTTTCTTATTTTGAAKAGCCCAGTGCATGAGCATTTAGCTGTCCAGCACAGAGGATTTAGTTATAGTACCATGTGACTGTTTCATGCAAAAGGTCTATTTGCAAATAACAAGTTTGTCCTCTTAAAGTAGTGACCATTTATCATTTTATAGGAAGGGAGAAATGGCAGGCAGCTGGTGGACTTTGGATGAGTCCATTCTTTTGGTTATTATTGGATGTCCTACCCTAAGCATGATACAAAAACCTAATGATTTTGTTCCAATCTTCSTGAATACCTGCAGGCAATGTTAGTAAGTTTTAGAGAGCTTTTCTTGAATAATTAATTAAGTAAATTACATTACCTGTTAATGTCATAACAGCTGAATTGTATRTGTGTTCTGCGCTTGTATCTATGAACAAAAAATCAAGCTTGGAATTGATATAATATTAGGTATCTGGTCAATTCCCACTAAATACGGTTTGCCCAAGTTGTTTCACGCAAGTTTTGAATCGTTTGCACAATTCTTATATCCATTGATATATTAAAATAAAATTAATAATACTTAAAATAATACTTACTTTCATACCACAACAAACATCCAATAGACAACAACAGCATAGTCATAACGACGGGAGAACGAGAACGCATGCGATCCTAAAAACAATTAATTTGTTATTGAGGCAGATTATAATTTTATTATTACCCTTATTAAGCTATGTACATTAAGCTGTGAAGGAATTATTATGGCATACAAACTAAGATGTATCTTTATAGATTACTCAACTGTTATTAATCCTGCTATAGCACCACCTAAATAAAGAAAATATGTCAACAAAACCAACATGCAGCTGGCAAAAAAGAGGATGTTTTACATACCCAAAATACCCCCAACATCATAAAATGTAGACAGCTCATCGGCAATGGTATCACCTATTTTCAGAACTGATGAAGAGCAATTTAATACAGTCAGCTGTTAGATCATTAAGCTTCTGAAGTTATCTAAAAGGTCCAACCAATACAGAATAGCTTTATTTTGTAAAGCTTTGAGAATACATGCATAGCATCTAATACTAGAGTTAAAAAGTCTAAATGTAATACTTAATTATAACTTACCAAATGACAAATAATAAGGCAGCCAGAAAAAGAAGGAATAGTTGACTAGCTTTAAACATGCATATGATAAGGAGTACTGAAAATGTCAAATAATATTGTGAATATGAATATTCTAGATAGCTAAAATGAAACAATTGCCCGACGGTCCACACAAAYCAATAATCAGTTAAGATAATATAAATAGAAATTAATGAGCTGAACTGTGTACTCCTCTTATTATTCCATTGCTTTGTCACTGGTAGATTATGAATTTATGATTTCTCTTTAGAATTATATAATTAAAACAAGACTTACTGGAATAACACCAGGAAGCATAAGAGCCTGACAAAATCCTATGGCTATTTTGGGTTCTTTGGGTACAACAGCTGAAGACTGAATAATTAAAGCAAAAAATGAATAGAATTTTGGAATGTCTGACTTCCAGTGGGTAATAGCATACCCGGTGCCCTGTATACATATAACATTATGTTTATTATATCATACCAAATATGGCATTACAGCTACCTCAAAAAGTGTATCAGGAAGTAGATAAGGGTTGTTGGACTTTACAACTTTTTGTTGGTCTTGTTCATTGTCTGCATCATTGAAAACTAGCAAGCAAAATGAATCAATAATTATAGTAATAAGGTGATCTGGTTTATGTTTTTAGTTGGTGGTGGAAACTAGCGGTAAACTAGCGTGAGCTGCGTCGGTGTTTCTAAAGAAACAGTTTTGTAAAAAGATAAATTTAACACCATAAAAAAAGTATGTGAAATATTTCACATATTTATCTTTTTACACAGATGTTTTTAGTTGATACATTTACATGTCTTTTGCAACTTTAAATTCATTACCAGGGTTTCTTTCTTCTTCAGTACTATCTTCATCTCCTGGTAATGGAAGTCCTATTAAAGTACATGCACATAAAGTTATTTGACTTTCAAGTAGAGCAGCTTTGATATATTTCAATACATGTATTTGATAATATGATAATCTCATTACAGCCTTTTGCACAAATTATGAGACATTTTTATATATATATAAATATACCTAACCAAATATCAAAAACACCCAAGAAATTATGGGATACCGTCGCTGATATTTTGTCTGTAACAACCTGATGCTAGGCAATCATGACAAAATATAATAGAGATATACCATAATTTCTGGGGTGTTTTTGATATTTGGTTAGGTATATTTATATATATAAAAGTGTCTCATAATTAATTGTGCAAAAGGCTGTAATTAATTGACCTAATATTTGGAACCATATATCATTAATATGTAAATTGTCTATACTAATATCTTTCAATACAATTCAATTTCAAATTATTTACTTTATATATATCACATGTGATTATAAAAAGAATGATTTAATTCTAATATCATGAAGATTATCTATCGTATGATCATATAATGTTAAAATGAATGACCAAGAAAGCAAGGGCTTTCCAGTTGACTGCCATATTTGACAAAATAGTGTCATGACGAAAATAAAAAACTAGATTTGTAACAACTTTTGTTCTCATTTTTCTGAGGATGGCATAATGGAATGCTGACACATATTAAGATTAAATCAAGCCGCCAAACACAACTCGAAGATTGATTGTGTAGACGAATAAAGAATTACTTGACAGATAGAATTTTGAGTATCTGATTTATGAATATAGTTTTTTTTTTCGTTATATTTTATTAATTTAACTTCGGTTCTGGATAGCGCCGACGATCAAGACAAATCCCAGTCTAGCCAAAACTATGTAAAATCACCGCAAGTATCAAAAAGCAATAATAACAATCCCAAGTAAACACAACTTGGCCTCAACCGCAATCAATGATCGATATCTCGGGAGTTCGATTAAAGCAAACAATAGAAACTTCAGCAAACAGCCAAATAGAAATTTCGTAAAAATTTGATCATCAAAGAGTTTGTAAGCTTAAGAGCATCAATGATTGAAAAGGTCAATAGACGAAATATGTTTCATTGAATGTCTTGGTTTTAATGTGTCAAACAAGAATTTTGTTTAAAAAAACAAGTTCACATGTACCATGAAACAGTCAAATAGTATCCGGTTTAAMMAGGCAAAAGGGRCAWTTTCTTAAAATATCTGAGTCTGTCGGAGAGAGAAATTTGTGTTTTAGGTACATTTATGTTAAATCATAAGTGTGGTCATTTTAGTAATCAACCTAGATAACAAACAAAATGTCAAAGTTTCTGTCTACAGACAACAGATGTGCTKCAGATGTATTCATATTCTTTAAGCCACAAGTTTTAAATTTAATTCAGAAGTGTTTGGACGTCRATGTATAAAGGAGTACAAGAAAGACTATAGTCTCTTTGATTGCGAGCTGCGTAGAGCTGGAAAATTCATTGTCTTCATTGTTTCATTTTAATATTAACTTGGGTTCTCGATAAGCACAGGCCACCACCTTCATACAATCATTTTCGAAACAAATTGGAGGATCGCCCAGTCTTCTTTGCTTGCTTCGACCTTGCTTTGACCTTGTGACTTAACAGTATGTCGAATCAAATTATAATTACTTTTCAAATAGAATTTTACATTATTTTATGAATACAGTTTTCTTTTTCGTTACAATCTAATTATTTTTAACTTTGATTTTTGACAACCAGGAGCGAGCACCTGCAGTTAAAAGACAAGTCTAAC